ATCCTCCCAAAAATCCTGTCGGGTCGGGGTATGGGGGGCTCCTGGGGTGGGAGATTCCACCTTTTGGACCAAAATAAACTAAGTTAAACTATCTAAAGGGGATATACAGTTGTAGATTCTAGATACCCTATCATACCTTTGTCCACATGCCAAATCAGAATGATGTAATTGAATTCTTTAAATCTAAATTAAAAATTATGTAATGATTTGAACCAATCAAATGAGTGATAGGTACGATACCTTATTTTTTAAATGGGTACGGGAGTTGTCACCTATAGTTTCATCTAAATTGCAAACTTCCACCCTAACTATTATGTAGACATTAAATACGTAGATGTTATTCGTATCATTTGAATGTGATATGCATTCGTATTAGAATAATAAACTTTATTTTAAAGCAAATTAAATACTCATATTGTCTGAACTTCTATGGGACATTCAATTTAAATACAGGAGTATATACCTGTAAAATCTAATTGCTTTAGAACCCCGTAATTTGTTTTATAAGCAATTTTTTGTGTTTAAATTTATATATGGCACCCACATGATTTTATCTCTCATTAGCATTTCATCGGTGAATACCCCTAGTATAAATTGGATTTTAAGTACATTGTTACAAAGATATTTATTGAAATTTTAGCCATGAAAACCTGTGATAATTTACTGCTATAAAATATCATTCATTTAGTGATGTTCAAACTTTGGGTACTATTTGAGAAATGGTTGTTTAATTTGCTTATTGGTAATTTCATATAATAAAAGCCAAAGTTAAGGAATTTTGTGTGTGTTGGTAAGTTCCACTAGATGATGTTAACATAATTCCAAGAGTTAAAAATATCATATGATCTACATATTAGATATGATATGAATCTTTCAGTTGATTTACATCATTACGTTTTTATTTCATTTGAATTGTTCAAATTAGATCTAAAGTAATGAGATAATTCTTTTCTTATAACTTATAATTAACTAAGTTGTAATGAGGAAAAGTGAAATTGTTTTCATTAAAAACAATTAGAATGCTTTAGAGAGAATTCCCTAAATAGGAGCAAAACATAAGCAAAATGCAAAAACAGGAGTATCATGTTTTGAATAGAAGTAACTTTAGTGTTTGGACAAGTATACCCTACCCAAGCCCCAACAACTTTTAATTAAATGTTTAATTCCTAATAAATTCGAAAAAAATTCAAAAAATCGTAGAAAAATAAATAAAAAATTTATAAAATATTAATAAAATGAAAAAATTTTAAAAAAAAAAATTATTTTTTAAAAAAATTTATTTTTTAAAAAAATTAATAAAAAATAGTAAAACTCCATAAAAAAATAAAAAAAAAATATGGATGCCTTTCCCACAGCTTGTAATACCTCCCTGCACCACCACCTCCGGGCGGTGAAAAAAAAATCATTTTTCCTAAAAACTGCCGTTTTCTGAAAATGCCGAAAACATGACATATTTCTCTTTGCGAATGCTAACATTTTCATTGTTTTCTGTCATAAATATGGCATTCGTAATGAACTTAGCATTTTTTTCCCCTGGTGACTGGAGGTGGTGGTGCTGAGGCGGCAGAGGCGCCGGTGAATTTTATTTTATTTTTTTGAGTTTTTAATTTTTTTTTAATTTTTTTTTATATTTTTTTATTTTTTGAAAAATAAATAAATAAATAAATTATTATTATCGAATAAGTCATAAATTAACTAGGTTAGGATTAAATAATTCATATTTTAGAATTAACTAGGTTAGGGATATTAAGGGTACAAAATTAATGTTTACTCCTATTGAAGGAAGTTTTAAGTTTTACTCCTATTTGTGCAATTATGTTTATATTTACTCCTATATTGGGCAATTTCTAAATGCTTTATAAGTCAAATCTTTTTACCAAAAACTACCAAACACTCTTTCAAGTTAACATAATGAATCGCACCTTATAGAAAGAAAGTCATAGTCTTAATTTAAATCTAATAGAATTACAGGGGGCGTAGCTCACCTGGTAGGAAGAGAATATCACAAGGGATGGGTCCCAGATTCAACTCCAAACAAAGACTCAGTATAGAATCTCACTCTTTTTCCACCGGTGTGTGACCAAAGTTCAACTTGCCTCCTCCCATAAAGTTGTTCGATCGTTTCTGGAGACCCTCAGAGATGGGGTGTCATGCTTTATTAAATCTATTGGAATTCATACTTTACGGGATACTAAAGTACAAGCTAGTTTTGATAATATGGAAGTGTGAGATCACTAAGAAAACAGTGAGTAGCCCTAATCAACATTTTAGCTCTAAAGTATCAAAGCAAGTTATGCATATACCAAAAGAACCATGAATACTACCCATTCACGGGACTAAAAGAACCATGAAAACAATGGCGGAGCCACTATTGTTCAAAGGGGTATATATGAACACCCAATTTTTTAAAAATATGTAGGTATATGTGTGTAAGTTTAGTATAATTATGTATTACTCTTTAAATTTATAATCGTAAAAAAACATTGAACACCCAAAATTTAAATTTCAAATCCGCCACTGCATGAAAATAACTTCTGCCCAATTAATCATAGCTTATAGCTTAAACGTGATGTACATTAACACCATTACCATTATAACATTTCATCAAATAGTTGGAAGGCATAACTTAAGTACTCAATCAGAAAACAATTCAAAAACATAACTTAAACTCAATATCTATTCAACAAATAGTTAGCAGATTTAGAACAAGCTTGCATTACAATTTTGTTTTACTAATCTCATCTAAACCATAACTTATAAGCAAAAAATCCTGAGAGGGTGATTTTAGGGGGCGGGGTCTTTGTCTAGATTTAGTACATACGAACATGGATATAATTAAAATTAAGATACCTTAATTTGCATCTATCCAATGAAGTTGATATAGGAGGTTGAAGAGAATCACATATTATCGACTTGTCTATATGAACATAATTTGGCTCATCACCAATACGCGTCGATGGCGTGTCATAGATTAGGGATAGAATCAAACCGATGGTACAACTTCTCATTTTAGTTGAGGAATATTGGATCGATAAGGAAGAAGAGATACAAGAAGAGAGAGTGAGGGGAAACGAATCTAGAGAAGAGTAGGATACAATGAAAACATATATATTTGTGTTACCAACGAATGAGTTTAATGGCATCCTTCTTAATATTTCTCAATTGTAGCGGAAGAGAGCTTCTAAGTGGATGATTCGAGGTTCTTAGCGGGAGGAGCTTTTCAGCGGAAGATGGCTTTTCAGTGGAAGAGGGTTTCTCAATTCTCACCATGAAAGAGAATTTCCAAAAATAATAAGGGACTTTGAGCCACAGACATCATAAAGAGTAGGAGCAATGACACATTATAATTAAAAAAATGATCATCAGATATACAAAGATTAGAGCGATTTTGCTTCTCACTTCTCAACCGTGGTAGACTCTCCCCCACCTGATTTGCTCCCTACACATAGACACACACATGTGTGTGTGCCCGTTGTTTGTTTGGCGCATTGTGTAAGCGAGCTTATAATAAAAAATGAAAATTAGGTTGAATGTTTTTTAATTTTTTAATAAAAAATACCAAATATATGTGTTTGTTTGTTTGATGCACTGTGTTAGGCGATCTTATAATGAAAAAGTAAACATTAGGTTGAATGTTTAAAAATTATTTAAACTTTTATTATTTTGTGTGTTTGCTTATGTGACGCACTTTGTTGCCGAGCTTAATTTTTTAAATTTTTTACTAAAAATTTATTATGTTTTAGTTAGGGGTGGATTCGGTTCGGGCCACCCGGCCTGTGACCCGGCCCGGACCGGTACTGTGCGGGCCCGGGACCGGCCCGGTCGGGCGGTCCGGGACCGGGTATGGACCCGAACCGGTGGGAATGGGCGGGGCGGGCTCGGTGCTGGATTAATGTGGTCAGGCCCGGCCGGGTCCGGTCTTAAGATTTAAAAAAAAATTGGTTCTTGGGCTACTAGCCGTTGGGGGTGGGGCTGGGGACAACCCAAACGGCTATATAGCCGTTGGGTGGGGTAAAGGGGGGGTCCGGGGGGTTGGGTGGTGGGGGGGTGGGGGGTAAAAAAACCTATAAATACTCCTAATTTTAAACATTTTTTCATATCTCTTCTCCAATTCTTCCTAAATCCTATTCTTAACTCTCTACTCTCTAATTCTCTTATTCTCCAATATATTATATTTATTATTTATATATCTACTTTATAGTTTATACTTAAGAAGTTAAGATGGAAAATCAAGATGCCATTATACAATATAATTTTGATAAGCAGAAGGACCCGAAGACCGGGATGTGGTACGCAATTTGCAAATGGTGCGAGAAAAAATGTAGCATGAGGGTTTCAGGCGGATTCGGGATGGCAATCAAGCATATGAAGTCATGTGACAAAGCCAAAGGATCGGGAGGTGCGGGAAGTTCCGATTGATTACAATTTTCAAAATGTTTCTCTTAAAGTTTGTTTTAATTTTCAAATGTAGTTCCTATTTCATTTCAAATAAATGCAATTGAAGTTTGTTTTTAATACTCGTATAAAACTATAAACTATAAAATATAAATTATAAAAAAAAAATTAACCGGCCCGACCCGAACCGGACCCGACCCGTGACCCGGGCGGGTGGCCCGGCCCGAACCGGACCCGTCCAACCCTCAGGCCGGTCCCGGGCCCATGTCATACAACCCGGCGGCCCGACCGGGCCTAGGCCCGGCCCGGGCCCGAGTCCATCAATAGTTTTGGTCAATCTTGCCATTACTGATTACTGATCTTAATATTCATGGGAGCCTTTGGTTTACTAATCTTTATACAATTATACTATGTATATCAGAAGGTTACGAAACTTATCTTCCTTCTCTTTTAGTTGGCTTTTGCACTTCCTACGGATAGACTCTATTTGATATCCTTCAAAAAAAGACTATTTGATATTGGTGTTAATGTCTTTATACATACAACGGTACAAAGCTATAGATAATAGAATGATGTACATTTCTGGATATTTTGGTAAATTGGTATTGACGTTGAGATGAGCTTTGCCACCCTTTATGGCTTTATTACTGTGATTGAGCCCACCTATAATAAATTTCTAATAGATGGCAATGCTATAAATCTACTGGTGATTAGGGTACACTAATATAATTTCATAATTCTTAATGTTAAGTTGCAAAGCTAGCATTTTTAGTTTGAATTTTTTCAAACATTTTTACAGAAATCATACTACGTACCATATAAAGTTATCTGATCATTCCAAGTATATTACTAAAAAACTCATGGATACAAATCTAATTGCATGGTCACTTTAGCAATCGAGTAACATAATCCATTCTTTAATTCATCAATTTCTTCCAGGGTCAGACCCTTGAAAAGGAATGGCTGCGATGCCTGTTACCTGGATGGCATCTAGAAGTTGATTTCCCTGATTTCAAAGTTAATATGGAGTACCTAATTGTTTCCTGCTTTGTCAAAGTCTTTAAATTGAGGTAAATGATTCATTTTCTCTACTGCCATAAACATCCTTACAAAAAAATATCTACTCTGTTCATTTCCCAAACAGAAATCGAGGTCCCAAAGATCCAGAATCTGCATTAGAGCCTTGCTTTGCAAGTTTCTGAATACGAGAAGAGAGCTCCTCTGCCTGCACAGTTAGCAAAGAGCTGATATAAGTTAATCAGCAAAACTTATCACATAGATGAATTACTTCAATTAATCAAAGCCAAAAACAAAACTAATGAGAGAATTCCTTGATTCACACATCATCAAGTTTGCCATCTCGGAAACTTGAAAGCCTGTCAGAATTATTATTTTGTATTCAACTAGTACCCATCACTTCAAGCTAATGAGAGCAATAACAAATTGGATGTAAGTTGAGACCTGTAAATTGGATGACCTACTAGGCTACTACCTGTTAATACAGAGGCTGTAGGAGCGAAAAATATGGAATGGATGCATTTTTATATGAATTTACAAAAAAATCATACATACAATGAGCTTCGGTACATATGTAATAACCACTAGAGAAATAAGCCACTGAAAAATGTCAAAATTCAATAAGATGGGTGTATATGAAACATACTTTTCAATATGATCCTAACAATAATGGGTGTATCACTCATTGTTCTACAGTATAAATGGATTAATTAGACATAAACCAATACTATTGATATGAAAACAGGACATGATGGCATTGTCAAACCTGAAGTATAAAAGTTCCCAAGTGACAATAACAATGACTCATTCTAAAATCATTAATAGTCAATGTTAGTGCATTCTAATAAAGAAACAGATGCTGTGGAAATAATTCTATAAGAGGGGTAGGTCATTTGCCTGATACAAGCTCAAGGAAGAACGGACCAGGGGAAAAGTGGTGCCCAACGAGAATTGAATGCACTCGCTAACTAGAAGGAAAAAATTGCAAACTCAGGCGCCCTTTTAGCACCATGGCTGTCAGTCGTCATTTCCACAACTTCCAGGAGTGATTTTTCTCAGGCCTTTTGCACCCAAATTGGCACCAATTCAATCATGAAACTACCAAGAAATGGTGTGTCTGTCCAATTATTGATGGTCTTCTTAATTGAATATCAATCTAAATTATTTAAAGTGTAATATACACATAGTCATGAAATATCTGAGTTCATTTTGGAGAAATGAGTTAAGAGCAGATTTTCCAACATTTTCTGTGAAGATCTAATCAAGGTACTACCACTATCATTACATGGTAATTAGGAGACGAGCTTTGTCAACGAAGTGCCTTTCAAATATATCAATTTCAAAAAAATGGATAATGGAAAAATTTACATGAAAGGTTTGCATTGGGTTGCATCAATTAAACAAATGTAACTGATAGGCCCCAGATGGATTTCCTTATGAATAGACTGGATAAATAAGTTCTTTGCTCAATGGATAGACTCAGATGGACTTCTGTATGGACGGACTGAATGGAGGATAGTGGGTAAATTAATTCATTTGGATTACCTCTGCAGTTTAGCAAATATAACTATCTGCTATTCCTAAGAAGAAATGAAGAATTACTTGTGTAGGTACGTTAGCATTTACAAACATTCACTGGGTCTTATATTCGGGTAGTAGAAAGACCTACAACAAATTACACTTCAACTATTGAAGATTTTAAATAATGCCAACTCAAGATGGACCAAGAATTTTGCAATCTCTCATGGGTAAGACAAAAGGACATATCCTAGAGAAAGCAAGCATAAAGAAAGCATGTACTGCACAGATCTTACCTTTTCATCAACCCAGACCAGCGAGCTCAATTGGTTGTTCAAAATGCGGACAACAACATCAAGTGGATTCATGCCATCCGTTAGTTCCCCGCCCTTAACAATATGAAGATATATGATCATCCAATGACATAATATATAGCAATGTGAAATGAAGAAAAACCATTAAACAGGAGGCACATACCTGGTTTGCATTAAGAGAATGAATGACTGACTTTATCTGCTCCATCATCTTTTCCATTTCTCTCTCTACGAATTCAGCCTGATCATACCTAAAACAAATGCCAGTGATAGATATGTCTCTAATGATTTGTCCTGATGCAAATTAACTTAAGAGAAGGGTTTTTAATTGCAGAAAGCTGGAAAACTATGTATTAAGTTTGACAGGTCTAGTAAAAGAAGGGTTTCCAAATGCTTATAGGGGATATATAAACATATATCCCCCCCCCCTTTATTGTGCTTCAAGCCTTCAAGCATTGGCCTATACTCACATTGCATCTCTTGTATATGCAGCTTCATCATCAAGGAGTGTTTCACGATCATCCTTATATATCCGTTCAGCTTCTTCTTCCAAACTCTGCAATGCCTTCTCAACCTAGTAGCAGATGGAACATTTAAGCTTTTTTAATAGTGCCAACCTTCCAATTGGACCATAACATATTTGGGAGTAGCTTGGATCCATCAAATGGGTGATTTGAACTATAATGCTTACGGTGCAGGTTGTAACAGATCTATATATGAAAAAATGAGTGCTATTGACAAAAAAAATGTAATGAAGGTGATTTGTGGCACTAATAGACATATATTGACTCACGTTCCTCCAGCATTGCTAGACTTCATGTTTATGCAGATTTTTCATGGATTTTAAATGCATTTGATAACTACAGGGCATCAAAGTACATTAGAAGACAACCTCGCTATTAGCATACCTCATCTTGATGAGTCTCAATTAACTCCAGCTGTCGCTCTAGGCTCGACTGTGTCTCAACAACCTTTGCAACTTCACTCTGACACAAAAAAGAAGTGCTGAATTTAAGTAAAACAACTCCATCTTAAACAAGTCACAACTCACAACAAAAGAGTGCACCCTATTATAGTAAAATACATTATCCAGCGTAATAATGAAGAAAGAGATGAGAAGATGCAAAGATGATGTTTTACATATTCCTAATGTGCATTGTATCAGCATCTCTACCTTGTATATCAGATCAACTCTAATATTATGATTATTATCTGGAATTCCAGTAAGTGCATGAATTATCCGCATTTAAAGTAAAAAAATAAAACCTCAAGCTTCAGGAGGATGTCACGGTTTTGTAGTATCCTCTTGTCCCATGCAGCTATTGCATTGGCCTGCTTCTGGAAACGTTTCGTGCGCTCTTGCAGCTCTGCATTCCATTCCTTGATGATCTTCCAGAAACAAAAACAATAGCACATAAATATGACCTATGCTTTTGCACTAAATTCATCTTCAAACAACTTTTCTATTTAGACAGCTCTCTACAAAATAGCACGAGGCAGAACTCGTGGCATAGCTTCAACATTGAATCATTGAGGCAAAAAAATGCAAGAACGCAAGCATCAACAACATAGAATTAGTTGAAGCAAACCAAACTCTCTGAAGCACTCCATATTAGACTATTAGATAAAATGAAATAATATCAATCTCCAATTTAATAAACTAAACTGAATGCATTCTGATTTGATATTTAATTATTTACCTCCTCTATAGTTTTTCCTGTAATTTCAGATGGTAGTTTTGGTGATGTTCCTGAGGCAGTACCTGTACTCTGTGTAGTCCTGCAGTAAAAAGTGACAGACCAGAAGGAAGGTAAATGATAAGGTCCGAATTTGTAACTTGCAAGGACATTTTCTAAACAATAAAATAAGAAGAGAAGCCTAAACCTAAGAGTATTTATTTTCTTATAGTATACAATTAAGCCTCAGTACGCACATGGCAGCAAAAATCAGCCTGGGCACCTAGGCATCCTCTAGGTTCTAGGCATCATTAGGTGCCCTTAGCCATTGTTGTAAATCCTGTTCACTACAGCTCTCTCTGTTTGAAATCAATTATAGCGACTGTCTACTGGTTAGGAAATAGACAGTCACACCACCCCCATCGTTAGTAGTTTTATAGAGGTACTAGACATTTGTGATACTAATCTTTTTTATATACTCCCCTGATTGGCTAATCATATGAGTTAAGTATTGGATGAGACATGTCATACTCTTGATCTGTCATCAATTTATCCTTTGAGTAGGGTGATGCAAATTCAACACCTAGGTGAGGTCCAGCCTAATGATTTCTGCAACATTTTAAGTTTCACCAGTTTGAGTATGAAAAGTTATTCCAAGTAAGTAGAATGCCACAAACCCACTACTACTTGTTGCTATCACAATAGATGATGTTTGAGCAGCAGAGCTGGATAGTGAAGTTGAACCACTCGAACTAGATGCAATCAGGCCTACATAAAGTGGTTACAATGTGAATAAGAAATTGAGTTGCTCTTAAAAGTTTTAATCAAAAGTAAAAGGAACAAAAGAAATGAAAGCTGCGAGCTCACAAATCAAAACTGCATGTACACTTTACTGGAACCATATGTAAGATTCAATAAAATAGTACTCCCTTCATCCCAAACTAAGATTCCAAGACAACTGTCTCTTTAAGAATCTGATTTACATAAAAACTTGTCATCATATTCGAAATTGGTTTCCGCGGTCCAATAGATCTTTTAAAGGAGTTTCTAAATATAAACTTTAATTATTAATAATAACTGATACTACATATATTATTTGGAGGAGTAAAGCTTATCGTCTTTTTTTGGAGTAAAGCTTATCATCGATCAACTATCACAAACCAAACTAAGAACTTTAATGGCTTGAATTGGGACGGAGAAGGTATATATAATTTATATGGGGTATTGGACAACATCTTATACTACGTATCATCGTATACATCAATAATTTGTTTGTAAAAAGTAGTTGGAACAAGTAAAAATATTTCTTGGTAATACAACAATATGATATTATTTAAATAGCATCATTAGACCCCGACTAATTTATTACCCAAAACTCACCAGGTGTAGCTACTGAAGTTGTGAACAGCGGTTGTGAAGCTGGAGTAGTTGATGGTGTTTTTGAAGACATTGAAAAAGAGCTTGCAGAAACAGAAAATCCTTGAGTAGTGGTGTTACTAGACCCAGAAACAGCAGTTGCAGTAGAAGCTGAAGCAGAAGAGGAGGATGCAACAGCAGGAAATGTAAAAGACAAACCAGTAGTGGTCGTGCTAGAAGGAGCAGAGGATGCTAGACTACCAGACAGAACCGAAGCACTGGTTGTTGCAGAAATTGATGAAAATGGAGATGATGAAGCAGTTGCAAGGCCTAATTCAGCAGGCTTTGAAGATACACCACTTAAACCATTCAAGGAAGAAGCCATTGAGCTGGATGAGGTCCCAAATGAAAAGGCAGGCATACCTGAAGAAGATGATGTCAAGCTGGGAGTTGTGACAGAAGAAGCTGATGTGGTTGAAGCATTTCCAGTCCCTTGTGAAAATGAAAATTTTGAGCCTGCAGTTGGAAAGGGTGATGAAGAAGCAAATGTAGAAGATCCTGTTGAGGTGGAGCCAGGAGTAGTGAGAGATGTAAATGTGGGTGCAGAAGCTATTGAACTCAATGTAGAAGCACTGGAGGCATTAGGCAAAGAAAACGCTGGTGTTGAAGATGCTGAGCTTGTGGTGGAAGCTGCAAGGAAAGAAAATGATGACGCAGAAGATCCGAAGCTCGGGGTGGCAGCACTGGAAAATGAAGCTGTTGATGTTGAAGATACAAAGCTTGTAGTCGAAACACTGGGAAAAATTGATGGAAAGGAAGATGATGCTGAACTACCAGTTGATGTGGTGGGAAACATAAAACCAGGTGCGGAAGAAGATGAGCTTGAAGCTGATGATAAGGAAAATGCAGCAGTTGCTGAAGCCGATGGTGCACCAAAAGTTGTAGCTGATGACCCAAACAGTGATGTAGAAACTGAGGATAATGATGCAGAGGATCCGATGCTCAAACTTGAACCGAACACACTTGATGAGCCAGAGGAAGATCCAAAAGTTGCAGATGTGCCAAAAAGAGAAGTTGTTCCAAACATTGGGGAACTGAAGGAGGTTGCAGACTGGCTGGAAGAAGCAGATACAAAGATATTGGTTGAAGTTCCAGTAGAACCCAAAGGTGCTCCAAATACAGTTGAAGCAGTAACAACAGTGGTTCCACTAGATCCCAAAGGAGCTCCAAATACGGTTGAAGCATTAAAAGCACCAGATCCGAATGGCAAAGTACTACCTGTAGTGGCAGATGAAGTTGTGGTGGTGGAAGAGCCAAAAGAAAATAAGGGAGCAGCAGAGCTGCTACCAAAAGATGGGGTAGTGGATGAAGTACCAAAGCTAGAGTTTGAAAAAGAGATCCCAAATGGAGAGGAGGAAGAAGTGGTGGAGGTGGCACTGGCATTTGAAGTGAAAGAGAAGGGTGAGGAAGATGATGAAGGGGTGGAAAAAGAGAAGGCTGTTGCCATTGCACTCGAACTAGAAGTGAATATACCTGCAGAAAAAAATTATACCATCAATGAGAGGAATTTTTTTCATATGACACAGAGAGTACTACTTTACAACCCTGAAATTCCATGTACAGAAACCCATTCTACATTAAATATTCTCCTATTGTAGAAACACGACACATATCTAAGGAAAGTTCTTATATCCAAGCAACACTGAGAGATTGAAAATAGAAACCCATCAGAAAATAATTAGTAAATATTTTTCATCCCTGACCCTTCTTCAGTTCTTTAAAAAAAAGGATGACACCCCATCCCTGAGGGCCCCCCAACCCCGACCGGACGGTACGTTGGTACGTTTTAGAGCAGGGATTCATTTTTTCCCTTCCTACCGCAACTTAGCATAGTTTAATTTGTACATGAAGTATTTTAAACTAAGGCTGTTCTTTCTCAGTTTGCTTTATAGTTGCCATGGCCTGTGGCGACAATCGTGGCAATGAGCCACTTTGCCATTGCTATGGCGCAGCATGGAACAAAAAAAACAAGTAGTACCTCTGTTCCACTAATATTGGGACATGTGCTAGGCAATATGGTGTGAATATTGTGAAATCACGCAGCTACTTCTTGAGCCATGTGCTAGGCAATAATATCACATCACCATAAAGGCAAAGGCACAAACAAACACATCATAATAAACCTCCCAATAGCTAGTAGTAAAGTTTTGCCAAATTAGCACCACCTAAGAACCCTTGGAATTTAATTCTTACCAATCAACACAAAAGCACAAAACACTTCAAACCAATTACTCTGAAGAAGTTTAAAGGATACACACACACCTTATGTGTAATTTTAAAATTTTCCAAAGAGAAACAATACTCCGTATAAAAATGTTATATTTGTTCATAAAATACATGGGGGTAAAATACTACAATAAGTCAAAAATCCATTTCGATTTTAATTATAAACCCTATATTAGAAACCAAGAAAAGGGTGGATATGAGGTTATATACGAAAAAAAAGAGAATACAGTTAGGTTTACCTTATCTGCGTTGGACTTGTACGCAACACAGTCAAGGTTTGAGTGGCTATGCGGACGAATCTGACATTGAACGGCGGTGGGGATAGTGAGCAGATTGAAGCCGAGCAGATATTAGGGAGCTCTCTAAGGCGCCGTAGCTTTTAACGTAGGAGAAAGCGAACAGGGTGAGATAAGGCAAGGGAGAGTGATGGAGAAGGCAGAGAAGAGGAGCAAACAAGTGTTAACGCCCCTCCATTAACAATTCCTTCGGCATATTACTGATGAAGGGCATACTTTCCTCTTCTCAAATAGAAACAATTTAAAAAACGGGGTGCAAAATAAAATTTGAACAATAAAACCGAATGGAAACTCAAATTAACCCAAGTATTTAACATTTAAATATGATCAAATAGATTCTCAAACTAACTTAAAAAGTACAAATCACATCTTATACAGGAGTTTATGTCCCGTCGTCGCCATTTGGGACGGTTTCTGGTGGAACTTTTTGATGAAGTTTTTTGAACATCTAATTCATTAAATCTAGTTTACTCATACCAAATTTCAGCTAAATATTCAATCGGTAAGGTAGTAAAATGAATTTTTGCAGATAACTGCGCAGTTAAACAGTGTATTACATTTAAGAAAATCATTTCACTGTCTTCTCGATTGAATTTTTATCTGAAATTTGGTATGGGTAAACTAGACTTAATGAAGAAGATGCTCAAAAATATTCATCAAAAAGTTACACCGGTAACCGTTCCAAATGGTGACGGCCGGACAAAACCTCATATATAAAGGGTGATTTGCACTTTTAAGTTAGTTTGAGGGCCTATTTGACCATTTTCCCTTTAAATATTACTCCGTATTATTATTTTTTATCGTCAAAACAGAAATACTAGTAATATACGGAGTATTAAATCAATAAATCGTTCGTCACTTGGTTGGTAGTGCAATCATGTATAACATCAAAAATAACTTGCTGATCGAAGATAACAACATGTGCTCTTGTTAAAGCATGAGTCGCATGATTCGTAGACCGTCTACAAAAAGATATATGAAAATTACTTTTTGACTCTAATAAACTCTGAATGTCATCAATAATCAAGCCTTGTACCAGTAAGTGCATCTGTCTCAATTCCCACTTTCTGACATCTCATCCCTGTGGCATGCATAATAACGTCCTGGAGCCCCATTGCCTCTGTTTCATGTGCCTACCATTCCGCTCTGCTCGAGACTCCTTTTGCCTTAACAAATTCCCCATCTTCATTTCTTACGATCCAATCCCAAGCTCTAATCCCCCCCGATTGGTTAATCCCGCATCAACATTTATATCTTTTGGTAACCCGTCTTGGGTCTTTGCCATTTTGAAGCCTCACGTATACTTCCCGACGCTGTGAGTGTACAGGCACCCTGTGCCTCCCTCCATCCTGCCAACGTGCTAGCCGATACACTAAGTACTCCTGCCACCTCTTGTTTTTTATCTATCCATACCATATTGTTTCTTCTCTCCCAAATGCTCCAAATGATAGAGATAAATGTGTAGAGATAAATCTGCTTGCCTCCTTATCTGGCTGCTCTAAGATGTCACAAAGCCACTATTCAATTGGGACTTGCGCACTCATAGTCTGGATCCCCGATGCCCGCCAAACGTCTGTCGCATAACAGCAGGACTGCAGTGCATGGTCTAAAGATTCCTCCAGTTCTCCGCACAGCTTGCGTCCTCCTTGAATATGAATTTCTTTCCTACGCACTTCGGGTTCCCCCGAAGTTCCCAAATACCGCCCCAGCCCTTCCAGGTGCCTCTTGTAAATTCCCAATGAGTAATCTATAACAGCTTCTAACTGTAAACTTTTCACTTTTTCTCCGGACCACCAATAACCATCTTTCCTATCCTACATACTGATAGGAATACCCAAGATACGCGCCATGTCTTTCAGATTAAATAATCCCCTGACTCGTTCTTGGTTCCCATTTTTCCTCGTGATATCTCGAAGAGCTGCCACATTCATATCCCTTATACCCACAGGCTCATTCGACATAATCCTCTCGTCCCCCGGTTCTGGTAGCCACGCATCAGCCCAGACCTGAATGCCAATCCCATTCCCCACCCTTCTTCTAATATTATTTTTTAAAACAGACTATGTCTCAAAAATACTTCTCCAAATAAATGAAGGATTATTTCCCAACCTAGCATTAAGAAAACTAGAATTTGGAAAATATATCGCCTTGATCACATAGCTCATGAGGCTCCCCAATTCAGTGATGAGCCGCCACCCTTATTTAGCAAGCATGATAAAATTAAATTATCTAATCCTACTGAAACCTAAGTCCCTTTCCTCCTTAGGTTCACCCCCGCCATCTCAACCCCTTTTGCTCAAACTTTGAGCCCCGCCACCAAAAACCATTCATAAGTTTCTGGATCTCATCACACAAATCTTTTGGTAAAAGAAAACATTCATGGCATAATTTAGCATAGCCTGAATAACATTGCATAGAAGAACCGCACGCCCGACTCTAGATAAGAATCTGTAATTCCAATTGTTTATCCTGCTAAAAATTATATCCCGCAGATAGCCCAAAGTGGAGGATTTATTCTTCCCTACTAATGCCAATACTTGCTCTTCCCACTTTCCCGAGGTGTCCCAAGCAATTGACAACATTGGTCTCGAAACGGCTCATCCACATTCTAGCAGAATGCCAGAGATGATTTATTAATATTAACCATCTGTCCTGAATGCCTCTCATAGCCTTGAAGGATATTTTTTTATCTCTACACATTCGGAATTTGTGGCTTTAAAAAACAAGAAACTATCATTAGCAAACAAAAGATGGGACGCCCTTGGAGCCCTCTACAAACCGTCACTCCATGCATATTCCCTCTTGTTTCGGCTTGTCTCAACATCGCACTCAGCCCCTCTGTCACAAAAATAAATAAATAAATAAATGATGACGGCTCGCCAACATCTCACTTAACCTCTCGAGTCTTATCAGCAAATCTTCCGACTACTCCCGTCAATGGCTAGTCCCAAGCCAACTGCCCTAGCCACTAGGGGTGGGCAAAAATACTGAAAAATCGGTATACCGCACTTACCGTACCGAAAAATACCGGAAAATACCGAAATATTGGTATACCGTCATTTTCGGTACGGTATCATACTGTACCGATTTATTTCGATAAGGTAACGGTAAATGTTTTCAAATACCGCGGTATACCGGTATAATACCATACCGACTCCCTACTTGACAATTACTTTAAATTCTAAAATATTGTAAAAGTCCATTACAATTTTGAAGCCCAAAATTAATACTTATTCAAATATTTTTAAAAAACTATAAAAATGACTAAATACAGAATATCATATTAGGGATAAATGATTTTATATCCATTGTTGAGGTTTAATCTCGTAGATCTGAAAGCCCAACACAAACTTTGGATATATCAGAAAATGGACGATAATTCAGTGTATAAAAGAAATATAAAAGATGATCTCAACGAACACTCAAAGCCCACTTGTATTAAGTATTTTGACTATTACACTGTAAACTACCCGAACGGTATGTCGGAATAGTAACTAATACAAGAAATTAGAGAGATAATGCTATTCTAGGCTTGAGTCTCAAAATGCTAACCCTTTACAATGAAACTAATCCTTCTATTTATACTACTGGGGGTATGGGGTACTTCATGTTGATTGGTTGCTTTATCTAGCCACTTGGAACCCATGCTCCCACTAGCTGCCATCCTAATTTAGCAATAAATGCCCTCTGCCACTTATTGGCTACCTGCTGCCCGAACGAGCAGTGAATCCTGCTGGAATCATCATTGGTCTGGCCCGAGTTCGTTGATTAGTCCGATCCCTATTCAGTACATCTGATCTGGAGTCATTATTGATTTGGCCCATTAATGATTTGGCCCAAGTATGTTAATCGATCCGAACCTCGTTCGGTACATATTTTCCCAAGAGCTGGTTCATTTTCTGGATGATGGGCCCACCTAACGAAATGGATATTTTGGGCCTTAGATCCGGGTATTGGGCCTGCAGCCCAATATCCCAACACGAGCCCCCCACTTCCGATGTCTCGAACGGTAGTGAGTGCATTGGGAAGTAGAAGTTACCTGCCGAATGGCGATCGGGATCCAGAGTTTGTTGATTCCCCATGCCACGATTAGTATCCTTTCTGCGGCTGTCGTTTGATTTTTTCCATAATCGTCATGATTACTGGCCTTTGCCTCCCCATGTGACACGTGTCCCTTCAAATGATCTAGGTGACGTGTCGCCTTCTGATTGGTTTCTGATTCGGCGCCTGTCAGGTTATAAATGGGCCTTGAAATCCTTGGTTAGGGGTTTTGAATTCCAATCTTTCGTGCTTCAGTTCTGCCTTCTCTCCAACCCTTCTCCCTCCAAACTGAAGTTCCACTTATTCCACATCACTGTTAATAGAAACCATGTTCGGTTTATTTGCTGCCCCTATCTCTTGACTCGCCCGGATTCTGAATTTTCCCCGTTCCGCCGATCTTTATCTGTTGTTTCTCAAATACTACCCGTTCGGGGTATCTAAAGATACTTGTTTCAAACTTACGGCTTATGTCGACCTTGGTCCGGGATGCCCATTAACACGTTCATCGTTCGGTGTCTTTAGGATGGCTTCCCCAAAACTGTTAACCCGTTCTTCATGAATTACCCATTAATCGTTCGGGGAACGTGCTAAATTACCATAAATGTGCCATAATTTCGTACAATCACATTTTTCCACGTGTTCTTCCTGGGTTAGGGTTTTGGGCGACATCTTTGCTTATAAATAGAGGTGCTTCTTTTTCATTTTCTCTGTTGCTTCCTTAATTTCTTCTTGCGTCTTTCTAAGCTTTCTCTCTCTAGAATTCTCAGGATTCCTTGAATTGCTAAGTGCTTTTTTATGTTCTTTTCTTCTAGCTCAGAATCTGAGGAAATGCCGCTTATTCGTAGAGGAAAAACTCCTGCTGTAAACAAGGCTGAAGGCTCTTCTTCCCAAGCCCTGATTTCCACTAATCTCCCTGCATCCAAAGATGCCGAACAACCTCTTGATCACGGATGTCTTTCGGGAGATGATGTAAAGATATATAACCAGGGAATGCCCGAACGGCCACCTCACATTCCTTTGCACTTCACCCGCATCCGGAAACAAAAGCAACGTCTTCCTGAGGACATCAAACGGCAACTTCGCCAACTTTTGCCTCCGTCTAGAGAATTTTATGCTGGATTCATCAGGCATCCTATGAGGCACCGACCGGGGCACGTTCTTGTGCACCTAGATGATTTGATTGCTGGGCTTCGCTTCCCTCTACACCCATTCATTGTGGAGTTCTTGCGCCGGATCTCCGTA